CCTTGGCTTAGTCTACTTATAACTGGTATTTAAAGTCAAGGGCATGGATTACAGCAATCACGAAGAAAGAGCCAGAAAGAAAAATACTATAATAATTGGACAGAGATAACCAAGGTCAGGAATTTAATGGATGAAATTTCAAAACAAAACAAAAACAGCCAAGACAGGATAGTTAAAACAACAAAGGCAGGGGCAGGGGGATAGCATGGGAGGTGGGAACTCCTAAAGCCTGCATAAATAATGTGCAGGGATACAATTCAAGATTAGATTTGGGTCGGGAAGAAAAAAACAAAAAGAATGTGCAGGCTGGAAACGATAGTGACAGTGAAGTTACAGAAGAAAAAGGGCTTCTGAGAAATGGCAAAGGTAGTCAATTCTAAGAATTTACTAATCTTAAGGTGATTCATAGAAAAAGTCCTGTCCTATAAATGTCTGGAATCTTGAGCCCAGAGATACCTGGGCCTGTCTGCACTGGTATTCTACCGGGCAGATGAAGGGGTCAGGAGGAGCAGTACTGTCTTACTTTCCTGTCAACTAATACTGATGACAGAGCAAAAGCATCATGCACTTTAGGAGTCATGCCCATAGCCAAAGACTGCAGATATCCTAAATGCGGTATCTGAGACACAGAGATGAGACATACATAGCCAAGTTACTAATGTGCATGTTGGGTAAGAATATTTCCAAATGGAAGGAAGTTAGAAAAGCTCTGTTCTAGTACAGCCACTTTGAGGACAGTATGGAGGTTCCCCAAAAAACTAAAAATACAACTACCATATGATCCAGCAATCCCACTACTGGGCATTTATCTAAAGGAATGGAAATCAGTATATTAACGAGATATCTGCACTCCCACATTTACTTCAGCACTATTCACAATAGCCAAGGTATAGAATACCTAGGTGTCCAAAGAGACTCCTGGATGAAGAAAATGTGTGGGGGGGTGTGTGTGTGTGTGAGCGCGCGCACGCACATAATAATGCACATGAGTGAAATATTATTAAGCCACAAAAAATAAAATCCTGTCATTTGAAGCAACATGGATGGAACAGGAGGACATATGTGAAGTGAAATAAGCCAAAAACAGAAAGTTAAACGCCCATGCTCTCACTCACACGCAGAAGCTAGAAAATGTTGATTTTATAGAAGTAGAAAGTAGAACAGAGGCTGATGGAGGCTGGGAGGGGTAGGGGAAACCGAGGATAGAGAGAGATTTGTTAAAGGATGCCAAGTTACAGCTAGGTAAAAGGAGTAAGTTCTAGTGCTCTACAGCACTGTAGGATGACTACAGTTAACGATAATATATGATATAATCTCAAATGGCTAGAAGCAGGATATTGAATGTTGCCAACACAAAGAAATGACAAATGTCTGAGATGAATATGCTAATTAGTCTGATCTGATCACTATGTACCCTGTAAATGTGTATAATTATGACACGTCAATTTTTAAAAATACAAATTTTTAAAAAGCTAACTTTTGTCTGGGCATGGTGGCTCACAACCGTAATCCTATCACTTTCGGAGTGTGAGGCAGGCAGATCACGAGATCAGGAGTTCAAGGCCTGGGCAACATGGTGAAACCCCATCTCTACAAAAAATACAAAAATCAGCTGGGCATGGTGGCGGGAGCCTGTAATCCCAGCTACTCAGGAGGCTGAGGCAGGAGAATCGCTTGAACCCAGGAGGCAGAGGTTGAATGAGCTGAGACTGCACCATTGCACTCCAGCCTGGGCACGACAGAGCGAGACTCCCATCTCAAAAAGTAAAAATAAAAATAAAAAAGCTACCTTTTAATGAATGGTCTATGATTAAATGTCGCTGGTATGTTTTGACACCAATGAGTTATACCTGAGGTCAAACCATAACTGGACGAGGCACCTAGGATGCTGTAGCTGTGGTCTCAGCATCCTGTTCCACTGCAATTAGTGCCACCATCATTATATTACATTAAATGCAATATTGCTATCCTGTGACTACCTTGTAAACACATTTTCATAAAACCAAAGTGCTTCATTACCACTTCTGATATGTGTATGACTCCTTGGCTCCAATTTTCCTATAATAGTAGCTATAAAATGATCTTGAAAACCACTTGAGGCTAACCAATTGACATTCAAATGATGTATAATGGGAAACAAATGAATAATAGATGCTAGGAGGTAAAAAGATCAAACCTTTGACATATCTTCCCTTACTTATTAGTAGAGTTTAAGACACAATAATTCTTCTAAAACCATTTCGAAAATACAATTTAAATATAAAATTGAAGGTCCTAAAATACGTATACAAGTTTTAAAGTAGAATGACTTTGCTATTTGAATACCCATTTAAATTTCTATTTCAAATGTCCAAAAGAGCCCAAATCAATTCTATCTTCATTTTTATAGCAGTTTTCTAATCATAAGAAGTCATACTTTCTAGAATTTTTTGCTTTCCTAAAATAAAAAGACTCCTACATATTTAAATCCATGAAATAAGAATTATCATTACTTGATTACTACCAAAATTTATTTTAATGATGTTCTCAACCTCATCTAGGACAGAAAGTGCTTAAGAAGCCATTATGTATTATTAGTGATTATAATGATTACGAGACCTACAATAATTTAAAAATAACTAATTAAGAAGGGAGTGTGTTATAATAGCCATGATTATCAAACCTGAGGTGGGAGATTAGTCACTGAGCCCCAAGGAAAGTCTTTGTATTCGACAATGTAAGATGATGGGTAGGGAAGGGATTTGACTATCACCCCGGCTGGGTGTCCTGACTCACACCTGTAATCCCAGCACTTTGGGAGGCCGAGGAGGGCAGATAACTTGAGGTCAGGAGTTCGAGACCAGCCTGGACAACATAGTGAAATCCCGTCTCTACTAAAAATGCAAAAATTAGCTGGTCATGGTTGTAGGTGCCTGTAATCCCAGATACTCGGGAGGCTGAGGTAGGAAAATTGCTTAAACCCAGGAGACAAAGGTTGCAGTGAGCCGAGATTGCGCCACTGCACTCCAGCATGGGCAACAGGGCGAGACTGTCAAAAAAGAAAAGAAGGAAGGAAGGAAGGAGGGAGGGAGGGAGGGAGGGAGGGAGGGAGGGAGAAACAGAGAGAGAGAGAGAGAGAAATTCACCCCATTGTGGCCAGCTCCTCTCCCCTCTACAATTCCAATCTATACATTATAAACAAGTCCACTGTACACTGTACCAGTTTGATATGCATTCACATCGATTAGTAGTTTTGGAAGCAAATATGATGATACATATTATTGCAATTTTCCCCATGTTTGAGGTAAAGAAATAGGCTCAAAAAGATTACATATGAGAGTAAAGCACATTTTAAACCTTTGAAGATATTTTTCAAGCAAAGATCATCCTATTTAGTTACAAATCTTTTCTTTCCTTGACTACTTGGATGCATCTGTTATGCCTGATTTCTGTTTCCACCCAATGTCTTTTTATGCAGGTTAGCTGCAATCACCACAAATGCAATATGTCATGATGTCATTCATCTCTTTTCCAGTTTGTTGGCGAACATGTATTAACATTTTAGTATCCAACTACATTAATCTCATGACTGCTAGCATTGAAACAATTGACAAAAAGATGAAAGCAAACCCTTACTGCCCAGTTTGACAATAAGTGACAGCTGTTCACATAGGCTGGCAATTAGGAAGCAAAACATTTTGGAAGACCAAATTTGACCAACAGCAAACCATGGTCTCAAATGCAAAATAAAACTTCAGTTATATGCTACACTGAGATAATTACGATAGCAAATTATTTATACTGCATAAATTACTCGATCTAAATAAAGTGGTGCTCTGCTATAAACATTATTTTCAAATAATTTCAAATATTAAACTATGCTTTTGAATATCCCTAGGCAAATCTTTTCCAAAATTACACATTCCTAAAACAATGAGCCAATCTAGTCATGTATAGCCTACTACATGCTCAACATTCACTTCTCTTTAAAACAACTTACATGACAAAACTAACTACAACAGTGAACATCCATCAATTGCACCTGCAAACGTCTCATAACAAAATCAGATGATCTGTGTGTCCCTTACTTATTCATTAAATTGATAAAAAACAGAAAATAAAATGTAGCTCTGAAGGAACCACTTAATTTTTAAATTTGCTCAATTACAAAACATTTGTTTATATAAAATATGTAAAACAAGTATTGCTATATTAAAATAATAATGCATATTAAATACCATAAATAACTTGAATACTTTACAAAATCAGTTTGACCTACTGTATTTACAGGGTGAGTGATCCTTATCCAAACTGCCTGGGACCAGAGGCGTTTCAGATTTCTGATTTTTTTTTTTTTAATTTTGGGTTATTTCCATATATATAATGATATACTTGGGAAATGGGACCCAAGTCTAAATATAAAATTCATTTGTTTCACAAATACCTTATACACAAGCCTGAAGGCAATTTTATACAACATTCTAAATAATTTTTGTTTCAGAAAGGAAGTTTGTACACATTGAGCACATAAGGTCAGGTAATTTTCTACTTTAGTTGTCATGTCAGTGCTAAAAACAGTTTGGATTTTAGGGCATTTCAGATTTTAGATTAGGGATGCTCAACTTGTATTTCACAGTACTATAACATGTCTTTAAAGATGTTGTACATTCTTGGCTGGGCGTGGTGGCTCACGCCCGTAATCCCAGCACTTTGGGAGGCCGAGGCAGGCGGATCACTTGAGGTCAGGAGTTCGAGACTAGCCTAACCAACATGGTGAAACCTCGTCTCTACTAAAAATGCAAAAATTAGCAGGGCATGGTGATGGGCACCTGTAATCTCCGCGACTGGGGAGGCTGAGCCAGGAGAATCACTACTGGGGGGGGCAGAGGTTGCAGTGAGCCGAGATTGCACCACTGCACTCCAGCTTAGGTAACAGAGTGAGACTTTGTCTCAAAAAAAAAAAAAAAATTAGCTGGGCTTGGAGATGGGCACCTGTAATCCCAGCTAGTTGGGAGACTGAGGCAGAAGTACTGCTTGAACCCGGAAGGAGAGTTTGCAGTGAGCTGAGATTGCACCACTGCACTCCAGCCTGGGCGACAGAATGAGACTCCGTCTCTAAATAAATAAAAATATTGTACATTCTAAAGCTTAAGCTAATGAAGATTGTTTTCCCAACATCTTAGTCCATTCAGAAATATATATTAAAAATGCACATGATCATGGCTTCAGCTAAGTGGCATTAGTTCACCACCTACAACTTTACATTTAAACACCGGGGATATTGCAAACTTTCCTTTGTAAACTAAAAGTGTTGCTATGTAGACAGGGAGTCCAAAAAGGGAAGCTAGTTAGCTCCCACTTGGGAAAGATTTTGTTCACTCTCTACCTCTACTCAAAGAAACTAGTTTTGAACATCTCTAAATTATTTTCTTAATAATTGCCTTCCTTCCGAAACAAACATGGACTTATAATTTTGCTGAGCTCCTGCGGTAAGTAATTGGTACTAGTTTAAGCCACATAGCTCCAAGTAAAGCCAACAGTTCTTGGTTTGATATGCTAATATGTGGATTTTGAGGCCACAGTAAAATTAATTACCTAATTAAAGGGTTACTTTTCCATGTCACAATGGAGAATCCTATCTAAATTAGGGGTTTTACACTGAAGATACAAATATGCAGATGTTGTTTTCAACAAAAAATTAATGTTTGGGGGAACTACTGCCAGAAACCAGTTAAAATCATAAGAATCTGTATTTTCTTCCTCTTTTCCTACTATCCAGTAGGCCAGGGAATTTGGACAGTTTAATCAAAAGATATTAGGGGGAGGAAAAGACTCCACGCATCAGAAGCTTGGAATCCTTAGTACTGAATAATCCAGAGCTCCAAATAACTCCTACAAATGAATTGTATAGTATTTCTCATTCAGCAATATCCTGTTACTGGGCAGCCTGTGCCATCAGGTCTCAGTAAGCACAGTCTCACTGCCAGATGCAGCTCAGATGATGTAGCTCAGATGGCAGCAACCCAAGCCCTGCTCTGCAGAGGCATCTCCTCTTCCAGCCATCACCTGCTTGGAAGCAAAAACAAACCCCACTGGTTTGGCCACACATCTGTAATCTGCTTAAGGCTATAAAAGTGTTTTGCTTTTCTTCTTGACACACATGCAGTCCAAGTTTATTAAATACAGAAATCGAGCATTTCTAATAAGACCTCAGAACTGGCAGCCAGTTCCCTCAAGAGAAAATGCAAGCGTCTGCTATTCTCCTATTCGTCATTTTCGAATGAGTTCTTTTATTTCAGTATATCAGAAAGCCTCACACAGGCCTGGAAGCTGCCAGCCCAGCATTATGACAGTTGCTTCTCAAAGCCATGAGCCATTTAATTAAATCCACTCTTACTTGACTCATCCACTGGCAAAGATTTAAAGCTTTATCTTTTGTATGATTCACTTTGCAGCCCTCTAAAGTTTTTAGATTTTTTTCTTTGAGCATAATATCACTTTATTAAAATGCAATGCAGAAAGGCAGCTGAAAGATTATATATTTGGAAAAATTTAACTCCAGAGATACAAATAAAAACATATATAGTCAAATAGAGCCTCTCTTTCTTTCTCATCTGATTTTAAAGACAAAGTACTGACCTATGAATAGACATATATTCTCATGACAGCCTCAGTTGATCATCAGGTAACGCTATGAATGTTTCTTCATCACTAGCTAAGTGGAAGATAGTATGTGCATAATTTACTACATGACTGAATGACAAGTTTTCACTAACTACAAATAATGTATTCATGAAATGCACCATCTATAATACCATCTGGTTATTATTCTCTGAGAAAAGTTCTCAGAGCACAATTACCACAATTAAATTGGCTTTTGACTAGATGTAGCACTGTGCCACCTACAAATGGAGCCCAAACAAGAGTCTTTTATGATGACTGCATTGATGATTGTTACCAAGACTTCACCCCTTGGCCTGGCGTGGTGGCTCATGCCTGTAATCCCAACACTTTGGGAGGCACAGGTGGGAGGATCACTTGAGGCCAGGAGTTTGAGAACAGCCTGGGCAACACAGCAAGACCCCTGTCTCTACAAAACAAACAAATAAAAATAAATTCGATAGACATGGTGGCATGTGCTTGTAGTCTTAGCTATTCAGGAGACTGAGGCAGGAGGATCACTTGAGCCCAGGAGTTCAAGGTTACACTGGTCCATGATCACAATACTGCACTCCAGCTTGTGTGACAGAGCAAGAACCTGTCTCATTTAAAAAAAAAAAAAAAGCACTTTAATATAGCATCTGGAACATACCAAATGCTCAAGAGGTTTAGTGCCCTTCATCATACCAGAGAAAAAACGTGACATTTTGTACCTCTGTATGCTGAGATAAAGTTTGTTTTTGAGTTGGAAATATTTCATACTTCATCTTTTCTTATTCTTACAATTTTCCTTTATTTGTAATGTAGCCATCCCTCTTCTGCCCTTGGAACAATGAAACATGGGACCAACCATGCTGTGTTACTAATTAGACTCCTGATGCAATTTTACTTAATGATTGCATGTCTACAATGATGTTTCTTAGTTTTTCTTTCTCTCTCACTTTTTTGTTTTTGAGACAGATTCTTGCTCTGTCACCCAGGCTGGAGTGCAGTGGTGCAATCTCGGCTCACTGCAACCTCTGCCTCCTAGTTTCAAGCATTTTCCTCCCTCAGCCTCCCGAGTAGCTGAGATTACAGGCGCATGCCACCACACCTGGCTATTTTGTATTTTTAGTAGAGACAAGGTTTTTTTTTTTTTTTTTAAAGCCGGAGAGAAAGCTTATAAAAAGCTTTAGAGCAGGAACAAAAGTAAATAAAGTCCACTTGGAAAAGGACCAGGCAGGTGACTTGAGAGCATGTGTGCGGTTGGACCTTTGACTTGGGGTTTATCCATTGGCATACTGCCAGGGGGTTGCATCCCTTCTACCCTGATTCTTCCCTTGGGGTGGGCTGTCCACATGCGCTGTGAGCTGCCAGCCCTTGGGAGGGACAACACGCGCAGTGTGTGTTTACTGGAGTTGAGCACATGCTCACTTGAGGTGTTCTTATCTTACCAAACGTTTCTAGAGGAAAATCATATACAAAATAAACTCTGCCATTTTCTCATACTGTTCATGCTTGAGCCCGCTCCCCCAACTTCTGAGATCATATCAGGCAGCTGCTGATCACCAGTTTTAGTTTTTTTTCTATCTATTGGGAGATTGCCTTTCCTTTAGAGACGAGGTTTTACCATGTTGACCAAGCCGGTCTCAAACTCCTGACATCAAGAAATCCGCCCACCTCGGCATCCCAAAGTGCTGGGATTACAGGCATGAGCCACTGCGTCCAGCCTAGCTTTTTACCAATTAGTTTCAGTGACATATATTAACCTTAAGTTAACATGACTATGTGGGTGTTATGTGTTTGACGTGAATGCCAATGTGATTCAACTCAAATATTTGTTGAACACCTAACTACCTAACTTACAGAAAATTGCGCCAAGTATTTTCATATATCAGGTTGTACAGGCCTCAAAATAAATATAAACTCTTAGTAAGTGGGATAGGCTATTAACCTTTAGAATACCATCAGGGTCCTTTGGACAACATTTTACCTTTTGAGTTTCTTTCTGAGCACTTCTAAGTACTTGTGGGGATTGATATTTCTTACTTTTATCCTTTCTTAGAGAAAAAGAAAATTTTAATTGAGTAAAACTCATTCTAGCTTGTACTTAACCAAGTGCACTGAAACTTTCTATATATCTAAGATATATTTATGAATCTTGATCTTTTTCCTATATTTTGTTCCAAATATTTTATCATCCCAAGAATTATTTCATCATTAACCATCAACTATTTCGAACTATGCTAAAGACGACCAAATAATATGAATATGAAAGATTGATAGAATTGACTAAAAGATGATGCCATAGGGAAATTACCACATTTTTATTGCTGTGTTCCCAAAGTACTGCATCATCTTTCAAGATGGTTTGAAAGAAGTCTGAATAGTCCCAGCTACTTGGGCTGCTGAGTAGGAGGATCACTCGAGCCCAGGAGTTTGCAGCTGCAGTGCACCATGGTCACACCAGTGAGTGGCCACTGCATTCAAATCTCGGCAACAGAGTGAGGGCCCATCTCCAAAAAAAACATGATAGGCCAGGCGTGGTGGCTCACGCCTGTAATCCCAACACTTTGGGAGGCCGAGGCAGGCGGATCACGAGGTAAAGAGATCAAGACTACCCTGGCCAGCATGGTGGAACCACATCTCTACTAAAAACAACAAAAAATTAGATGGGTGTGGTGGCATGCACCTGTAGTCCCAGCTACTCGGAAGGCTGAGGCAGGAGAATTGCTTGAATCCAGGAGGCAGATATTGCAAAGTGCTGAGATCATGCCATTGCACTCCATCCTGGTGACAGAGAGAGACTCCATCTCAAAAAATAAAAATTAAAAAAAAACTAAATAAAAAGCATAATAACAAGAAGTCTGGAGACTTTCACTAAATATATTCGAAAATAATTCTCCACATATTGGCAAACAGCAAAAACTGACAGAAGGAGACATTTTGCCAATAAGATAAATCAGAAGATGAATGAAATTGATCATGTAAGTAAAACCTTAGGCCATGAGCCTTCACATGATATCCTAGATGAATTTTCTCAAGTTCAAGAATTGACAAGTGAGCAATGAATTTCTAAGAATAAAAAGAAAATATGGTATTCTCATCCACTTAGTCATTCAACAGGAAGGATATCATCACTCAATATTACGTGACAAAAACATTAACCATCATCGCTAAAATGATGTGACGCTATTCCTTCCTTTTCTATGATGCTTATGCAACAAATTTTATGTTTGTGCAACACATTTAATTGGTACCATTAGGAAGTGAACAAATGCCCAAGGCAGGAATCTCACTAAAGGTGATGAGAAGAGATAATGTAGAAAAAAATGTATGGGGGCAGGCGGGGAGACTGGCTTGATCATTTTAACAGGTGTTTATAAATCCAAACTTGAAAGCATTTTTAAATTATTGAGGGAAGATGGCTATATTCTCTCTGCAATAAAATTATGAGCTGTCAATTTTTACAATAATTAAATGAAATTGCAAGTATAAAAAAGACCAAGAAATATGATGAACCTAATAGAGATGTATTTAAAATGTAGAATCAGTATTTGTAAGATGGATATATTCCAGGTTCATGCATAGCAGGTGATTAGCAGCTAGCTGTATTCCAATGGATAATGCTCATTTCAGAAATCCTTGCCTTCAAAACTGGGAAAATACAAACTAAAAACGTGGGTTTACCATATTTAAATTCTCAGTAAAATTAAAATATTTACTAGGTTAACTCTTATTAAAATTCTTAATAGTTATTTCTCACTATTCCTTTATTCTTAGTTCTGTAAATTGATTGCAAAATAATCTAAAATATAAAGGGCCCACTGTATCCAGATAGTCAATGGTGCTGGCCTGGTTTTCTGGTATAGTAAGGGGACAAGGTGGCCTCTTGCTATATTTGATACTCCTGCAATCACCAGAACTGATGAAGTTTAAAGTAGGTTCAATATGGAATTGTGTGTTCCAATGCAGGCACACCTGCAGACACTGCCATACACACCCACGCAAGCCAGGCCCCGCCCTATTAGTTCATTTTCACATTGCTGATAAAGACATACCTGAGACTGGGCAATTTACAAAAGAAATGTTTAATTTGACTTACAGTTGCACATGGCTGGAAAAGCCTCATCATCATGGCAGAAGGCAAGGAGGAGCAAGTTGTGCCTTACACGGATTGCAGCAGGCAAAGAGAAAGAACTTGTGCAGGGGAACTCCTCTTTTTAAAATCATCAGATCTCGTGAGGCTTACTCACTTCATGAGAACAGCATGGGAAAGACCTGTGGCCATGATTCAACTACCCCTCTCTGAGTCCTTCCCACAACACATGGGAATTCAAGAAGAGATCTGGGTGGGGGCAAAGCCAAACTATATCACTATCCCTGCTACCCCACCCCCCCCCCACAAACCAGAGAGTAACATTAACTAACCTGGCCAACATGGTAAAACCCTGTCTCTACTAAAGATACAAAAGTTAGCTGGGCATGGTGGTGAGTGCCTATAATCCTAATTACTTGGGAAGCTGAGGCAGGAGAATTGCATGAACCCGGGAAGTGGAGGTTGCAGTGAGCCAAGATTGCGCCACTGCATTCCAGCCTGGGCAACAAGAGCAAAACTGTCTCAAAAAAAAAAAAAAAGAAAAAGAAAAACTCTTCTGAGTTATGCAGCTTCAAAGAGGATGACAAGATGCGGTCAACAGGAATCACTCCTCCAGATTATAAGCAGCTGTTTTTAAAAAAACGTTTAAAGGAAATAGAAAAAAAAAACCATCTAGTTATACAGAAAGATATATCAGGTAACCTCATAGCACACTCTAACCAATGCCTGCCAACCTAAACCTAAAAGAATATATCGATAATTCAAGATTCTGTTTCTTAATCAAATGTGAGTACCTACTTTGCAAAAGGAAAAGTGTACTCTACAACAATTAGAGGGTCTTCTAACATTTCATTTGCTCTACAAATTCAGCAATCTCCATGGAGAACTGGTTCGATCAGATTCTGCAGTTCCAGGTGAGGGGCAGCTCTGCCTCCAGGGCTAGAATGCCTACCTGGCTAATCTTGCAAGTTAGCTCTCCAAATAAATTTTCCCACGAAAAAAATTCTTACCCATGACCGCTGGAGTCTGCATATTATTAACGTTATGCTATGTAATGTTAATTAACAGTCTGCATTATGCTACATTACAGACTGCATAAATAGATATTTTGAGGGGATCCTAGAACATGACTATTACAACACTGGAGAAATATATCCTCAGTAATTTACAAATAAAGTTCTGAAACACTACCTGTTTTGGCTATGTTAAAAGATTTACCTCCTTTTCATACCTCTTTTTCAATGAAGTCATAAAACAAAGCTCATTCCACAAGGAATATTTCTCTAAATGCCTCATTAACAGTAGAAAAACATTCATCTTCTATCCAAACAAGTCTCATTAACTACCAAATAACAAAATACTGTCAATCAAATATTGTCTCAGGAAAATGGTAGTTTGTTTCTCTTTCTTCAAGAATTATCATGTAGCATCCCCTGAAGATGTTTTAAGTCAGGTATGTTAAACTCCTATTCTGATTCTTACATTTCAAGTGTCAAAAGGAGGGCTGGTTCCTGGAACAAGGGGGCTGCCAGTTGGCAGGAGCCCAGCTTGTGTGTGGATCAGTGATGCAATACCTCTCTGGCTTTGCCACATGAGGAAGAAGCCCTGCCTGCCTGCAGGACTACAAGGAAAGAAGTTAAAACATCAAATGATGCAAGTGACCCGATATCCTAATTGTACTGAATCCAAACCAATTTTTAAAAATCTTAAAAACATGAATAGTTAAAAATAATAAAAGTTCAGTGGCTCAACTTTAGAAAATATTAATAGGTTATATAAACCATTTGTCTTAATGGAAAATAAAGAATGATTAGAAATTTCAAGTCATCCAGGAATTACACTCGCTGTTCAAATACAGTAGTCACTGGCCACATGTGACTATTAAACACAGTATGTGACTAGTTTGAATTGAAATGTGCTGTTAAATGTTTTAAAAAGTGTTAGATTTTAAAGACTTCTTATGAAACAAACAAAAAGAATGTGAACAATCTTATTAACTCTTTCACACTGTACATGTTATTTCAGATACACTGGATTAAATAAAGTGTTGTTCAAATTAAATCCACCTGTTTCTTTTGACTATTTTTAAATTGTCTACTAGAAAATGAAAAAGTAGGTGGCTCACATTACATTTGTATTGAACAGCTGTTTGCTAAAAGATGGGAGGATCTATAACAGGGGTTATAGAAAAAAATGGCAAAATAATTTCATAGTGTTTGAAGAAAGTTTATGAATTTGTGTTAGTCCACATTCAAAGTCATCCTGGGCCGCAGGCTGGACAAGCTTGCTACAACATCCAATTATGGATCATGAAGTGTTTAACAAAAGCTATGAAAAAAATTAAAAATATACAATTCACTTTGCCTAGTATTTTTCGAGGACTATGTGCAAGACATACCAGACACATAAACTACAGTTTGGATTCTAACAGATAAAAGGAGATATGATTCCAATTAATTGGAAGATAAGTTATGGTCTTGTAAGAACACAAAGGTAAAGCAAGGGCAGTATAGCAGAGGAAGGCACCTGCAAAGACTTGTAAAGAATCATCTTTTCAGGTGAACATTAAAAAATATACAGGATTTTGACAGGTCAGAAGATGTGGCACTTTAGAGTTGACAGATATCTTTAACACACATTATTTGACGAAAAACGAAAAATATTTCAAAATGAGGTATGACAGATATCTTTATCATACCCCATTTGACGAAAAAAGAAAAATATTTCAGATGGGACAGAATGGTGGGAACAAAAGCCTAGAGAAAGAGAAGGTCAATAGTTTTAGGAGATAGAGTCACAAACAATGTATAAGGTTTTAAAATGCAGACTGAAGCCATGTCAGAGACTTCTGAATGCCCTGTGAGAGAATCTGGACTTCTCTACAAGTAGAATAAACCATCAGATATTTCCTACCAACTGTCAACAGGATTAAAACCACATAGTAGAAAGATTACTAAAGCATGGAAAGAATTATCTGGAAAGAGAGTGGATGAAGCCAGGGTGGTGGTGGTGGGAGGGGGTGGGGGGTGGTGGGAGAGAGGGAGACTGAAAATGCAAGAAAAGGAGAAGAGATGATTAAGAGTCCAGACAGAGGCCAGGCACAGTGGCTCACACCTGTAATCCCAGCACCCTGGGAGACCAAGGCAGGTGGATAACCAGATCAGGAAAATCCTGCATGACACAGTGAAATCCCATCTCTACTAAAAATACAAAAATTAGCCGAGTATGGTGGCATGTGCCTACAGTCCCAGCTACTCAGGAGGCTGAAGCAGGAGAATGAACCCAGGAGACGGAGGCTGCAGTAAACTGAGATCGCACCACTGCACTCCAGCTGGGGTGACAGAGCGAGACTCCGTCTCAAGAGTTCAGGCAGAACGTAATCATAAAAGGGAAGACAGGAAACAAAGGGATAAAAGAAGGTACAAGAGATGCTGAGGAAGAAGAGAAAATTCATTGATTTATTCAA